CATTGTGATTGCAGAAGTGCAATAGATAGTGCTAAGAAAATATGTTGTAATGGGAAGAATAGACAAATTCGTTTAAGACATAAAGTCATTAAACGATTATTGAAGAATGGAATTGTGTCCATTAATTTTGTGAGGTCACAAGGAAATTTAGCGGATCCTTTGACAAAAGCCCTAGGATGATAAATGATAACTGAAACATCGAAGGAAATGGGACTAGTGTCACTCAACTTGTGTGATTGGAGATCCCATCAAGCAAGTTCATATGGGTAAATAAGTCTTCCATTTGGTTCTGCTAGCCGAACTAAAATTGCTCATTTCCATGATGTGAGATATAGGCTAGAAATCGCATTCTTTGAGAGGGTGAGCTATAAGCTCTTAATGATTATCATAACCCTTAATTTTAGGATGATTTGCAAAAGAGGTACACTTGATGATATGACATATATGAGTGTGAGGTGGGGCCGTCTCTATGAAGCATGACAAAACTTCTAGAGCACTCATGAATACCAAGCATGTGCATAGCTTTACGGCGCATAACGGCGTAATAACGAGAAAATTGTGTGGGGTGAGACACGACCGTTAAGACCCTGATTTACTAATAATAGCTTGTTGGTTCAAGAAACTATACGTTTCACCAAAAGCTCGGTTTATTAAGACTTAATCGTCTTGGTTTGGTTCATAGTCTACGGACACCAAACTTAAAGTCTCGTTCCTTTAATCCAGCAGAAATTTTCTAAATTATTCTTTTAAAATCTCAAAATATTCATTTGAAATATGTGGGGGATTGTTGAAAATTTGGGAGTATATCAAATGAAAATAAGTAAATAAAACTTTACTTTTTTTATTATTTTAAAACATTTTAATTGCTGCTCCTAAGTCCTAAGCTATGCACGTTGCAATAGTGTTGGACTTAGAATTAGTATTATTAAATAATAATTACTCCTAACGGTTTTAATAGTTAATAGGAGTTAGAAGGAATTTTCAACATTAATTCCAACATTGATCCTATTTACTAATATGAACGTTGGTACTCTAACGTACGTTTCACCTGATCGAGCATGTAACAACGTTCAGTTTTTCCTCTATATATTTGCTTACTTTGGTAGATGCTAAGTTCTACGTACGTACGTGTTTACATGTGTGACAATAGATTACTTTTTAGCTAAAAACAGAAACATCTCTAATTCTACTCTGCTGGATTAATATTGTTCACTCTCGTTGTTCTGTTACCGGCTTACGCGGAAGAGCCCGTTTTATCTTGGGGAAAGTTTTTGCTACTCGGAAATACTTTCTTGAGGACATCGTTTACGCAACTCAAACTATATTATTTTCTAACGATTTTTTGCAGGTTTATCCGGCCAATTTCCACAAACATTATTGTTATTATCAAGAGGAGCGCAACATGTGGCGCTCCGAGATGAGAAGTTCATAAAAGCTCCAAATGGCACGATGCAATAAGTTTCGAGCTAGGCGAATAGGAGCCCAAAACTAGGCAATAAGCTTCGAGCTAGGGGAAACGAAATGAACCCCGGTCACCCGAACCAGGTTAACATGAGTTGCCAAGATCGCAATGTCAGAGGAAGTGTGATCTGCACTTGATATATACGGAGATCTTATATCGTTGGACCCCCAAAGCTTGTTATTATAAGGTGGGTGACCCCCTGGGAAGTTTCTCAGGTCGCGCACGAGTGACAAAGTGCGCGGAAAAGACTAGTGGCGGTTTGTGAGGACAGTACTAGAGGTCAGAAGTAACTTCCTCGGGTCCTTCGGGGTCAGGATGTTACAGGTCCGGGTAGGTCCGACCCGTGGGTTTTCCGGTCTGGGCTCGGGTCACCCAAAACAAGGCCCGACCCGGCCGGGCCTGATTCGGGCCAAATTTGATTTTTTTCCAATTGTTTTTTAAATTTTCGGGTTGGGCTGGGTATTTTGGGCCATTTGGGGTGGTTTGGGGGGTTGGAGTGGGTGGGGGTTAATTAGGAAGAGGGGAAAAAATTGATAATGGGCCCGGCCCAGCCCGGACTCGGTGGTTACCCGGGCCGGTCCCGGGTCCACCACTCCTGAACCGCCGGCCCGCCCGGGCCTAGGCCCGACCCGGACCCGGCCCGGACCCGAGTCCACCCCTAGCTAAAAGAAGTAGACTCCATCCCTCTAATATTTGGATAAAATGAAGTATGTAGTTGTTAAAAAAACTGCATAAATTGTATATTAAATATGGTGTGATTGGGATAAATTGTATGATTGATATTAAATATGGTGTGAGACAAATATAGTGGAACGAATGGAAAACGTAAAGTGGGATAAAGATAGGGTGATATAGGAAGTAATAATTTTATTGTGTGTAAATTATACGAAAATGAGTATTACACTAAGAGCTCGTTTGATAATGCTGAATTGTCCGAACTCCGAATCAGTTGAATCTGCAAAAATTGACGAATTTCTAACTAAAGTCGGTGGACTGGTTGATCCTGTGACATTGGAAAAAATTATATTTGAATATATATTTCATTAATATAATTAAGTAAAACATATAGAGTACATGAGAAATAGTTAAAATGACTCTCTAGAGTTATTTCAAACAATTAAACTAGAAAAGTAACTCAGACTCGCTTATTTTTAAAACATAGTATTACAAAATTCAACATGTGATATAAAAAACTACATGTTTAGTAGAAAAGTTAACTGACAATACTAATAAGCTGAAAAAAATAAGCGAGACTGTAGTTACTTTTCTTACTGAAATAATATACTTCCTCCATTCTTTAAAAGCAACAACATTGAAATTTTCGCATTATTCACACATTTTACTTTGACTACGATTTTCTAAAAATATATATAATGAAACTTTGTGTATAAAATGTTATTGAATTTCTACTAATGTAAAATTTCAAAATATTAACTTTTTATAATGTTTACAAATACGTTTACCATCAAAAAAAGTTTACTAATACATAGTTAAATATAACTACAGTCAAAATTGTGTGTTAGCACACGTGAGAGCCAAATTGTAGCAACTTTTAAAGAACATAGGATAGTATGTAAATAGGGGTGGACCCGGGTCAGCCCAACCCCTGTTCCGGGCCGAGATAGTCCTTTCCTAGCATATTTTTTATAAAGCTCGAGACCGCCCCACTATTTTCCTGGTCTGGGCTGGCTCCATGTACCTAGGGGATTCGGTCCTGAACCCAAACTCATTATTCTTTTTACCCAGTTTTAAGCTAAAAAAAAAGAAAAAATTGGCCAGTCCAGGATCAGAACCGCCAATCAAATCCACCCCTTATGTAAATATAAGAAATTATAAATTTCTTCCTACTAAAATGTTAATGTTTTTCATTGATAAAATATAAAATTTTAATAATTAATAACTGAGCAAACAAAACTTATTCTATTAGGTCAATTTCTAATGACTCCATTCTCTTTTAATTGTAACATTGGACTTTTTGTACTATTCACATATTCTACTTTGACTATATTTTATTTATCAATGTATTATAAATTATTATTTTTTAAAACTTGTTTAAATTCATCTCATGTTAAATTTTTAAAATATACATTTTTTAATTTTTTTTTTACTATTAAGGAATGAAGATAGTAAAGATCAAACTTGTGCGTTGACAAGCATGAAAAGCATGGGCGGATCTACCTTATTGATAGTGGGGGCACATGCCCCCAATAAGCTTTGAATAATGTATTAATAATATAGAATTTTCTGCAATTTTAATTTTAAAAGGAAGAGTTTGCCCCCATTAAATTTTTCTCATGCCCCCAATAGATATTTGTGTGATGTTACGTTGTATCATATGAATGACTAAAAATGTGTTAATTATCTTAAATAAATCTAATTGTACAAAGTTAAAATGACCAAATTTTTGAGGAATTGTGGTGGCAAAATAAGGTACGGAGTATTAAATTAAATTAAATAAAACTATATTTAATTTAACTAATGAATTGAAGTAATAATGTACTACTTGGCTCATGATGTTTTCATTTTCATTTCTAATTAAGTGAATTTATGAAATACAAATGATTATTATGGATCTAGTCTTCTTATATTATACTCTGTATTGACCGTATATATGAAACATTTACGTATATATGACTAAAATAAATTTTATTTATAAAATGTGACATCATAAGTGTGGTGATTATAGTACTATTTTAGTCATATTAACTTATGTTCAATTTTTACACTTAAGTACTATGAGATTATATTATGATAAGTATTGTTCATATTTTGTAAATAAATATTATTTCAGTAATATTTTTGAAAACCCTCTTAGTTCTACAATTAGAGCTCCATGCAATTATTCAAGATTAGTAGGAATTCGCCAATATTATTTTGGAGGTTTTTCAAAAATATTACTAAAATAAAATTTATTTACACAAATATGACTAATGTAATGTCATGATAATTTAAGTTGCAAAATTAAACATAAGTCACTATGATTCCATTACTATTCTAGTAATTATTCACACTTTTGTAAACAATTTTTATTTTGATCAAATTTTTGTAATTATATTTATTTTTTTTACACGAAAAGTAAGCTAAAAATTACATAAATTATGGTAGATCCGAATTTGGTACGACTTACTCATATGTCCGTATTTAATACTCCGTATATAGTATTTAATACTCCGTATATATTTATTTTAATTGATATTATTATGCCCCCAATAAGTATTTTTTCTGTATCCACCACTGATGAAAAGTGAGTCGTTGCAATTAGAAAACAATGGAAGAAGTATATTATATGCGTGAATCATTGAATTTTTTTATATTATACTAAAATATATGTACAATGTTTTAAATAAATGTACATTAATACACCATCATAAAATGAGCACAATTGAAATATCAGAAAGCAAATAATAATTATGAAATGTACATGTGAAAATTGAAAACAGTAATCATCTATTATAGTACTTCGTATTATATGGTGCCTATTTGATGAATAAATGTACCTTAAGAAATGTACAAGGTACAAACTATGGATGACAACCAAGTTGTAAGCTGATACAAAGTACGTAGTATATGAATATATCCTTTAAATTTGCTCATTCTAAACAAAATTTGCCTTGTAAAGAGTAGCACAGGATAAAAATCATCAATATTTACGATCTACTCAACAAAAAGAGGGGGGGGGGGGGGGGGGGGGGATACTAGAATGCAAAAAAAAGGCAAAGAAACTGTCATTCCAATTTTAATATCTGCAGTACCCGATCACTGTCTGGTTAGATTTTAAAAAATTGTTTCTTTGGGTCATGGATAAGGCTAACATCTAGTACTGGCTGCCATGGCCATTGCCTCCCCTGTTACCCCTCCTTCCACCACCATTCCACTGGTAACCGTCTCTGTCTCTCCCATCTGAGCTTCTTTTACGGCGGCTCTCATAATCATAATACCCACCATCGTCCCCTCCATCACCATATCCATTGTAAGGTCCTCCTCTACCAGATGAAGTATTATTATGGTAGGGCCCACCTTTCCCCCCTGGAGCCCTTCCACCGCCATTGTTGCTACCAGAAGCAGGAACCCAAGCTACAGGTTTTCAGAACATTTCAGAAGAAAGGCTTCTTGAACAGGTTAATAACTCATTTGAGAAAAAGGGCTTTTTGCAACTAACAAGTAACAACTAGTTTCCTACTCCGTATTACCATTTACTGATTTACCTAACATCTTTCCAAAGAACTGAGGTGAAAATTTGGTCAAACCCGCTTATTAAACAGTTAACTGATGTAAACAGCAAACAAGGTTTCAACTGATATATGAATTAGCCCCAGGTATTTCATTATTAAACATTTAAATTTTTTAAGATATACTCCGTATTATGAAACATCTATAGTTATACCATAAAAACGTTGCAAACATAGAGTTTTGTGACATGTATAAAACTCAAATGTGACAGGGGTGGACCTGGTCATACTTTTAGGGTTCTGGTACCTATTTCCATAAAAGTCTAAAAAACCACATAAGAAAAGAACCGTTACCCGAGTTGGATTATTCAACCGGGAACCAGGCAAAGTATTGCTGGTAAAGGTTATATTTCCAATCCTTTCCGTCATTCCGTGACCCAAACGGACATTCATCCAGGTCCACCCTAAGTGTGACACCTAATAAATTTGAAGCCTATGCAACAAAAGCAATATGACACAACATTTTAGATAAATGGTTTTCAATCAAATAAACATATTACCTCTTGTGTTTGACTTTTTATATGTTATGTATGCTTCTTTCCCACGGATGGTAATATTGTGAGCCTGAGATATAACCAAAAACAGTGTTGAGGATAATAGTTAAAAGCCAAATGAAATGCCAACAAATGGCATACCTCGACAGCTCTGTGTGCAGAATCTTCAGTCTCAAAATGTACAAATCCGTAAGTGAATCCATCCTGTTTGACAATTCCAGGTTCGGAGTATTCGGAAGTTTAATGACAGATGATTAATGAACTCTAAAACAACACTGTACAAAATATAAATTAACAAACCTCATTTTTGTTATCTATAACTTGAACACCATCATTCTTTTTAACTTTACCAAACATCTTGACAGCTTCGGCGAGCTCATTCTTCGTTGTGTGGGGTGGTAATCCTCCAATATATATTCCCGTAGCTGGTAAGAGATGCATGGTTCTGCAGTTCATCAGTACGTAGTGCACCAATATAAAGCTAAGGACACGTTTTTATGAGGGAAAAGTCATGGGGAGAAAAGAGATTCTATTGTTCAGCAATCAGCATCTCAGATTACTGAAGATGGTAGTCAAATGAGATTATTTTCCCTTCTTAATTGGAGCAAAATATGCCCTGAAGACTTGATTGCATCCAACATGCATTGTGAAGAATCAAATCAAATTCTGGGAGAAGGTCTAAATTGAGTGATAGTAGGTATACTAGTGAAACTAAAGCGCATACTAACTCTAAATTGAGTTGATATTTAGACGCACGTTGAAAGATATTTTCCATTGTTTCGTCACTCAGGGGAGAGGCAGTTTTGAACCCCACACCATTGGAATGAAAACTCATTTTCTTGATTGAATCATTGCCAGTAGGGACTTGTGGCTTTGTTTCAATCAAACTTCCATCACTCGGTGAAACTCTTACAATTGGGAGGGGAGGAGCATGAGGACATGTGCTCTCTGTTGACAGCTATACCAAACAAAAAAAAATATTATGTTTAGCAGAAGGATCATAAATTCCTAGCTATACCAAAAAATATTATGTTTAGCACAAGAATGTATGTTTAGCAGAAGGATAATAAAATCAGTATGATAGTGGGGTTGCATATAAAAAACTAACCTTTTCAAGATAGGTTGTCTTAGGGGTAGCTTCTTTAGAATTAATTACTGGTGGTGTTGGAAGTGATTCAATTGTGATCTTCTCACTTGATGGATTCAGTTTAGATTCAGAAGTGGCATCTTTTGCTTCTGCCTTTGTGCACATTTTCTCAGGAGCCTCAACAAGCTCGGAAACATCTGCAAGAAACATAGCAGGATAAATTTAAAAGTAGTAAGAATAATCTGCAGAAAGCATGTTTGGTTACCATAAAAAGTGTTACTCTTTCTGGAAAAAACCTGATTCTGACTGTCCTTCACCTATCCATATTCCGCTTTACCTGGAGTTGTGTGTGATTGGGTTTCAGTTGGCCAAAAGACAGTTTATAGCAGGTTCATTTTTTAATAGTTCAGTAAAAGTTATCTACAGTAATGGAATTTGTGCTTGGATACATTCTTGAAAATGTGAATTTGATGGAGTAAGAGCTGTTTAGAAAATAACCCATACTTGGATTTAAGAATGAATAATAACCGAAAGTGGTTCAGAAATAAGTTACTAAGCAATACAGATTGTCTTTTTCCAAACAGACTTCAAGGAAGTAATTTCAAACAAAAAATGAATAAACAGCTTTTAAAAATCACACACTTCTAGACTCTAAAAGCACTTTAGATATTCCAAAAGTGATTGAGAAACATAAAACAGTTATAAGTATAAAAGCCCTCTAGATAATCCAAAATTGGAAGCCAAAAATATATTTATTTTCCTTCAAAATTAGAGAATGCAATTCTAGAGGAATATATTTAGATTCAGAAGAAAGTGAATTTATTTCCAGGAAAGGAGTCTTTAATGAGTCAGCCAAATGTGCTTTAAATGCTTAGTTGTGTTTTAGTTATCTGAATCAAATCCAGAATTGAAATGCAAAACAAAGAGTGTCTAGGGTCTAGATACAGTTATTACCAAGAAAAGCTTATTCATTCATACGCTCTATGGAAGTATGAAATGGATTAAACACAACATACCTGAATTGGTGGATGAAGGAGATTCTGATGCTTGAAGAACAGAGCCATTTTCAGCTTCAGGAGTTGATGGATTCATATCATGAAACCGTAAAATGTCATTCGAGACAAAAAAACCCCTCTCTTGTCTTGCAAGAAGGAAAGTATGGCTAAATGCTCTAGTCACGTCATCATTTCCGGTCAAGTTTCCAGCAACCACCAGAAGTATACTTCCATGTAAAGCTTTTTGAGCATACACACTCTTCACTTCCACATCAGAATCCTTGTAATCCGAAGACATGATCATATCGTTTATTCCCTGCCATAATAGTGGATCATGCATTTTTTTCATTACATAAAAAATATGAAGCACGGAATACCAGAATTTTAACACAACTACCAAAAAACATAAGAAGACACAAAAGGCAAAGATCAACCAAGTAACTTAATTTAGTACAGAGTAAAGCAAACAAATCAATCCTGCCCTCTCAACCCCTCCAAAACCTGTCCAACTAAAGAAGCCCTAAGTGACTACAGAAATTGGTGATTCTTTTTGTAAATACAACTGTTGAACCCACCTATTTATTAGAGTGTGTTTGGTTACCATGGAAAGCATCAATTCACGAAAGGTGAAAAGAGGTAACTTGACACCAATGTTGGCACAACCAAACAATATTCTCCATAGAAATTTGGCTCCTTTTCCTGAAAATAAGCGGATCCATTTCTAGGGGCTGGGAGGCAAAATTTTAATTCCTGGTGAAATCCCTTCACAAGAAACAACCAGACGCCCAATTATAAAAATATTTAGCATACAAGTGAGCAGCCTCCATAGATAGCTTGCATTATTACCCATGACGACATTTCACAATCTTTAATGCAAACTATTGTGTGTATAAATTTTGTTACTTTTAGAAGGCTACAATGTGATGTTTAGGATCGGTCTCTCATATGCATTAATCATACAGTTAAGCAAAAGCTACAATCATTACACAATTAAAGACAAAAGAAATGGATAGAGGACGCAGTATATGTGCGCACTTTCATTGTTGTCACTGAATGCACAACACCATCTTTTCCTTCCCATCCAGCAACACTTGAGTCCTTGTAGAACTTGTGTGTATCTTCAGGCCGTTGATATAGTACTTGGTAATATTGGTCAGTGAATGCGAATCCTACTGCCTCTGCAGTGTGACGTTCCACCATCTGTGAAACCAGACATGAAATAATTCAAACCAGGTTTCCTAATAATAATACTTGAAGACTTCTACATGAAGATTTAGCACAGCAATAGAGAAAACATGTTGAAAAGACACTCCAAGAAAGCAAATGAAGGATGATAAACAAAACCCTGTTTACAGATAATCCCATAAAGCAAGTCTTCACAAAATAAAAATGAAAAATGCAAGCATAAAAAATATTAATACATTAGTTGAATACACCACCATACGGGGAGTAGTATCTAGTATCACATGAAATAAGATCAATGGACTGGTGCATACCACTTGTAGCAGTTATACACCTATATACTTTTAATCCCATGATTTATTTCATTAGCAATTGTTAACATTCTTAATATGGACGGTAAATATCTCTGTAAATGCACTGAATCCATACATTGGGTAGCCGGACTGTCTAGTAGACTCAAAATGGAATGGATTACCAGAGCTTGCACATGGGCATATCATTGTGATTAACAAATTATATTATTTAATAAAACAAATGGATCATTATTTTTTGTTATAATAAATTGAATCAGGGCAGCGGCAGCAAATGAGCTACAGTCTACAGAAATTTAAGCCTATATTTCAGGGTTCAAAACAAGGAAAAAATACAAACGTAAAAATAGGAAGAAAAGAAGAGCGAAACTTAAGTTGCTTGCTTTAAGTTGCCTATCAAATCTAAACACATTTAAGAATAAGCAACCCGATGTCCGAACCCTCTGATAAACCCTACACCCAAAAAAGAGACACTAATGTGATCCGTGAATCATTAGCGAAAGCTTGACCCATAATCGCTTACATCAAACGAAAAAATAGTCCTGAAAACCCCCCATTCGAACAAAGAACTTTCTATCAGCAAAATTCAGACATTTAGTTTCAAAAACGAAGTTGTCCACACACATAGCAGCAGAATCATGGTAAAAACTAGTAGAGAAAAACAATGAGCTTATACCTTTGAGCAAAAAGCTGAAGCGCTTTGGGGGGGAACAAAACTCAAAAACACGCCTTTTCGGACATGGGAGTGATTGCTATATAGGGTGGAGATGGTTCAGGGCGAAATTTTTGTGATTAATTTTTTTTGTTTATGTATGTAAATGGAAAAACAAATGAAAAGCGAAGAGGCGGTTTTAGAGGACAGATTCTTTTCCTTTGGTTGGAGGGAGTTTTTGTAAATTGTGGGGTCCGTATATATTTTTAGTTTTTTATTAGAACTTCCGAGAATCCGAGCATATGACAGATTTGTTATACTCCATGACAAATTAGTGATCGCTGCATACTTTTCTAAATAAATCAAATAATTTGTACTTGATTCGTGATTCAAATACAAATAAGAATATTAATATATTTGATTCGAATATTAATCAAATATATTCGATTAATAATAATTGTAATATTAATAATAATATTAATATTAATAGTAATAACATTATAATAACTTTTAAAAGATATCAATACTCTCAAAGTGTAGAAATCAATTTTTTGTTCAGAATATATTTGATTCGAATATTAATCAAATATATTCGTATTTAAATCAGAATATAAATACGAATAGAAATCAATTTTTTGTTCAATTGTCTTTCAAATACAATACAAATAATTATGTATTCGAATTGAAGAATAAAATTCGAGTCGTTTGACTTTGATATATACAATTATCAACTTATTTCAGACATTATAAGTATAATTTCTAATATGTGTGTTGGTGTTTATTTCAAAAGGTTTGAAATATATTTATATTTATTAATCATAAAATTGATTCATTTTAGTGTATTGTGCACAATCTAAAAATGCATTGATCCATTAAATTTAAATTCTAAAAACACATATTAAGTCATTTCATGCATTTACAACATAAAAAATATAAGAAAAGTTATTTTAAAGTGATATTTGACTAATATTTAACCTATGCTCAAATCGATTCGATATTCGTATATGATTTGTTAACTATTTGTATTGTTAAACAAATAAAAATACAGATTGAAATTAATATTCGTTTCATATTCGAATTCGAATTTATATTCGAAAAAATTAAAAAAAATACAAGTACAAAATCCCGCTATTCGACTCGATTCGGTTCGTTTACAACCCTAATGGTACATACCCAATGACCTATCTGGTGTAACTGTGGGTATGTAGCTGAAAAGATACTTTTATGAGTTTTTTAATAACTGTTAGCTTTTAGTGACTGAAAAGATCTTAAAGAGAAAAGGTGGTAGCTGTTTGGTAAAAAGCTGACTGTTTGATTTAGTTCGGTTTGGTATACACGTTGTTAGGACTAATTATTACTAAAGGTCATGAGCTTTTTTCAGATGCTACTCTCTGTAGCATCTCAAAAATGATCTTTTAAATTTTGAAAAGCTCTTAAAAATTGTCATGCCAAACATATAATTAGAAGTTTTTAGTGACATTTTAAATAGTACAAAAGCTAGAAGGTAGTGACTTATGTCTGCCAAACATAACTTATGTAAGGGTGTTAGCATTTGCTCAAAAAGTGATTTCTAATTTAAAAGTTTTAATTTTAGAAAAGATAAAACAAGTTTTGTTTTCAAATAGGATAGTGAAGTATGAAATCAATCTAAGAATCTAACACTTAAATTAGTCAAATAAATGTATGTTTGTTTTAAAGAGAACAACTAAATAACAATTAAATAGATGACAAAGTCAAAACTGAAGATTCTTGGAAAAATAATCATGCAATCAGCGAGTATTAAAGGCTCTTATTAATAATACCTTTTGACAAAAAAAATTGTCTTATATAGTATCAAAAAAAAATCATTTTCATGTATAGTTCAATATATAGCAATCCAAAGTCAGGAGATCAACCAACAAATTTTTCTACTACCTTCCTCATTTTTAGAGAGGGTAGTGTATGTGTGTGTGAATGTGTCAAAAGAAACTCTACAATATGATTGTCAACAACATATAAGAACTGACCATCAAAGTCATAGAATATTCAAAGATGCATTTGGACAAACATAGAGTGTGTAATATAATTATCCAGTTCCCCTAAATTAAACTCCAATGCCTACAAACCCTAACCCTACAACTCAGGGCATGTTTGGTAACAGCTGCATTGGCTGAAATGGATGAAAAGCCTGAAAAGACTTAATTTGGTGAAGTGAAAGTGTTTTGTAATATATTGGCTGAAATGGCTGATTGTGTGTAAAATTACTATAAGGGATATTAGCTTATTTGTGTTAAATATATGGGTGTTAATTTTACTAATAAACTACTTTTGCTTGATTAGCTAATTATAAGCCTATTTAAATAATTGATTACTTTGGAAATTTCATTCTTACTCTTACGTCGATTTTTTATACAACTACTTTCTAAAAAATGCGTAATATTAGTATTAACACTATGAGGAATGGTGTCCCTCTTCGGCGTTCCTACATTTGTTGGCTGCTAGGAAGTTTAACGCTGAGAGAACAGTAACAGGGACGAACACAGTCTTTTTCGGTGTTCCTAGACCTAGGGACTAAAACCAAAATTTTGAGGGAACAAAATGAGGAGTGTTAGTGTGGGACGTCATTCCGTTTGGCATTCCTATCATCCTATGGTGGCTCGGTTCAAAACTCTATAAAAGCCTTTGTTTCTTACAGTATTTCTTTGTGCTCAAATCTCTGGGATCTTTAAATCATTCATTTATGTTACTGAGACTCATCAAAATGCTTGTTTAAACCCTGACAATGCTCAAATCCCCTCATGGATCCTACAGGTTAATATATGGCATAAGTAAAGTGAAATGGGAGGAAAATCAGACCAGACCAAACTTAAATAGATAGACCTGATCAGACTTGATTTTCGTAGTTATAAAATACACAGAGACCAAACCATACCAATTCAAATCAGACCAGATTAACCAGACTTAATCATATGAGACCAGACCACATTAACAAATTATTTTATGAAGAACTTTATTGTTTGGACTAATTAATAGAGCATGAATTGATTGCAATATCCAATTCAGTACTGTCACAAATTATAAGTGATACGTTAAACATTAGAGTGACAAGTGTAATTTTTACTTTGCAGAAATTTTTAGTATAGGTGCAAAGGTAATTTTGATTCTTATTGTGCATTTTGTTACCCGAAGCAACAAAAACTCACTTCTTTGTTTATTAGGCATTGAATCCGCCACATGCTTGGAGTAACAAATACAGAAAGTAGGTGAAATTTAATCTTATTTTCTAGGAAAAACTGTCAAATAAGTTCATACACTTTGACGAAAAAGTCAATTGAGTCCTTGAAGTTTTTTGTGAGTCAATTGAGTCCATGAAGTATTAAATAAAGATTAAATCTGCTATTTTGTAGGTCATCATCAGGTTTCCCGGTTGGTGCCTAAGTGGACGTCTAGGTGGCTGATTTTTACTCTTTTACTTTATTTTTTCTTTTCTTTCTTTTTCTGTTTCTCTTTCTCCTTTCTTTTTCTTTCCCAATGACGAGGCCTGTATGCTCCCCCATTTACCCGTTCTTCTTCCCTCGTGTCTGCATTTTTTTTCTTTCTCCTGCCAAATCCGCTCCTTTATTTTCCTTGTTTCAACCTTTCAGGTCCTCATCAGAATTATAGAGCAAGGACCGGCAGAGATGGTGGCCGGTGGGTATCAAGGTACGGGCCGAGGACTGGAGGTGCTGGTATGGAGGTAGGGGTGGCCGGTCAGCGAAGGTCGTGTGTATGGAGTAAGGATCGGCGAAGATGGTGCCCGGTGGGTATCAAGGTAGGGGTGGCGGAGGTGGTGGTATGAGGCAGGGCTTTCCAGGGCGAAGATGGTGAGTATGGACGTAGATGCGGTGGAGGAGGTGGTCTAGTAGAAGCTGAAATCTTTTGCCGGAGAAAGAAAAGGAAAAGAAATGCATAAGGGGGGAAGAAGAACGGTCTTGGCGAAGGGGGAAGAAGAACGGTCTCGGAGAGAAAGGAAAGAAAGAGAAGAAAAAGAATTAAAGGAGAAAAAGAAACAGAAATAGAAACTTTTTCAAAAAAAATAGAAAATTAGAATAAAAAATGCAAGGTAGACATCTATGTAGGTTGTTAATCGGGAAACCGGATGATAACCTACAAAATAGGAGATTTGGTCGTTTTTTACTACTTTATGAACCTAATTGACTCACAAAAAACTTCGATGACTCAATTGACTTTTTCGTCAAAGTACATGGACTTATTTGACAGTTTTCCCTATTTTCTAAATTTAATACGGAGTATCCATTGTGGATCTATTAATATATGGTTTTTGTTCAAATGCATGTTAGTTTCTTTTTCAATGTTTTTACTTGGACTCAAATTTATTATAATGGTCTAGCTGGTCTGGTCTTTTTGAGTTAGATCAGGTCCGGTCTGAACCGGTTTGGTCATCTCAGGTAAATGTATGTGCATTTTATAACTATGGAAGTTTGGTTCGATCTGATCTGTCTAAGTCTGATCTGGACTAGTCTGCTTTAGTTTGATTTGGTTTGATACTGAAAAGAATCCAAGGGAAAACATCCTTATTTGTTTTCAAGAGAATCAACATGATGAAAGTAAGAGAACTCTAAGAAAAAATTGAATTAACATTACTCTTTAAAATGGGATGGACAAAAATATTACTTACTAGTAATTGTATTGAAAATTTATATCCTAGTAGCTTACATGTGATTACTACGATGTACATTTGAACAAAATTATAGTCACTAATAATTACTAAGTAATTCATTTGTAATATTCAAGGAAAACATTGAGTTTTACCTTAAACTAAGGTAACATCCGGGAAATGCCTCGGTAGTGTTAATTTGAATCTTTGATATGAGTTTAGATGATAAATACCTATAAACATTGTGACAAATAGGATATGATCAAAAGTTTGACTATAATCAATTTCTTTTATGAACTAACCCCCATCATGAAAGACGGGTAAGGAATCACCATCTTTTAGAGTATGAATTTGTGGTTATAGTATGGTTTATGTGCTAGCGGTTATAATAGTTATTAATTATTTATAGTTATTATAGGCCTGATTATATGATGAATTATGATAAGAAGAAGTGTTGAAGTGGAATTGTAAGTATTTGGAGTTTACATTATTTTCGATAGTTACATGTATTATTGGTGTTGTGCGATTATAGTGCGATTTAACCTCACTCAAATATGTAAG